AGGTTCCCAATAAATGTTTGTCCTTCCTCTTTATTACCCTTCAAGTTTGAGCACAACAATTAGCTGGTTACTGCAGGCAGAAGAGCCTTTCCCTCTTAACCTGAGCAAGTATTTGTGGGAGCTGTTCACGCAATAGTGAGGGAGGCTCCATCTCCACATCAGTCACGTCCACCTTGGAAGCAAATGGGCCCACAGATGACACAGCCACATGTCCTCAGACAGAGAAAGTTGGAGGAAGTCACTGAACATCCTAACAGTGACTTTCAGTCACTGAAAACCCTGACAGATAATCTAATCAGATTTGCTGTTTTAAAGATAAGGAAACCAAAGCCCAGTGAAGGGCCAAGACTGGACTCCTCCCTTTGTTCGTTACTCTCCACTATGCCGTGAAAAAGGGCCAATATTCACCAACCAGATGCACAAGAATGCCCTGTGCTGAGACTGGGACTGGAATTACAGGCCAAAGAGCTTCCTCAGAAGTGTCTAGTCCATTGGCTTGTTCTAGATAGGCATGCACCTTCCACTCACTCAACCTGTATTGGGCTCCTACAAAGTGTTGGGTCCAGATCTATAAGGAGGATATTCAAATGCCTGAGACAGACATCGTCCTTCTATTAAGATTCACAACATAGCTAGGGAGGAGTCACTGATTTAAATAATTGCATGCAGTGTGGGAACTGTATCCACCCCACCATAGGAGCACCAAAGGACTGGGCGATCCTCCCTGGGAAAGCAGAACAGTCTTCACAAAGAAAGAGACAGATGAGTTGGGCCTTGAAGAACAAGCAGCTTGCTAAGTGTACAGGCATTGGGAAGGGCTTTCCCACTTGGTCATTGATTTTCATTGTGCAAACAATTGCAATAGCATTGAGGCTGCACACCTGTGTCCTCTGGTGACTGTCTTCTCATCACAACAGAAGATCCAGCTCCATAAAAGGCAGCCAAGGACGGTCCCAAGCTGTGCTAGTGTCAGGGATATTTTTGAGCCAAATGCCAGTTACCCAACATCTTCCCTAATTGATTTGTCTTATGCTGCTTACTTCCAAGGGTCTCTCATCACTTCCTATATTGCTGGGATTGAGATGGGTCTAGATAAGAGAAACCTGGACCTCAGGTATGGAAGGCTTCATCCAGAAAAAAGAAAGACGAAGCAAATGGGAAAGCTCTTAAGTCAGAAATAAGAGGATAACCTCTCAAAAGAAAAGACAGTTTTTCACAGTGGGCTGGTTGGGTATTCCAGGAAACAGATGCCAAAACAGAGTTAGGAATCCAAGAGATTTCCTGGCGGGAATACCTATGAAGGAGAAAGAGGGGAGAGAGTGGAAATAGGTAGGGAGAGGCTTCAGACAGTGATGGGGCCCTGACACCTTTGAATAGATAGGAACAGGAAGGAGGACTGGGTAAGACCTTGAGGTGCAAAGATTGCCCACAGAGGAGAAATGACTGGCCCTTGTACCCCACTAAGCTGAGTCATTGCCAGGGCTGCCTGGGCAGTGCCTGGTTCTAAAGCTGAGGAAGAACCCAAAGGAACCTGCCACTGACAGAGGGCCTCACAGCAGGTTCCCTCTTAAAAGGAGAGTTGAGCAACACATCTCCATGGCTGCTGAACACATGTATCATCCTGGCGTAAAAGAACTTAGAGGGAAGTTTACTGTGCTGATCAATAGTAGAAACTTGTTCTAAGTATGCAGGGAGGAAGCCCTGATCTTAAGACCACAGATTAATTGTAGGCTGTAATTTGTTAGCTAGTTATTGGTATACTGGTAGGAAAAACTCCATCACTAGTGTTTACTACTGGCCTGGGTTGAGGATAAAGCTTTTCTCCTGGAGCTCTTAGCTCTCTAGGAACCAAATTCTTTGGTTTAACAAGTCACTCAAGTGTTTGATCACTAATTGAAAAGAAATATAAGTCAATGTTCCTAGCCAGATAGAAAGAGAGAATAAGGGAGGGAAAGAGGAACAATCCAGTGGACCTTGAGCGGCATGAGGACAGGATTCCATCGGTCTTTTTCTCCAATGAACGGCTAGCCACTCCCAATGTCTGCCACAGGGAGGCCCTCAATAAATAAGGGATGAATGAATGGATAAATGGACGAACAAATGAATGTCACCCACACCTTCAGATAAAACAGCTCTCTCTTGCACTCATCCCTTCCTGTGGTTAGCTCCTCAGACATATTAATTTCAATTCTATTTTCTTTACATGCCACGCTGTATCTGTGGGGGTTCAGGGGTAGAGAACAGAATCCTTTCTAATTAGTTTAGGTGAGAAGGGATTTATTTCAAGGTATTAAATGGCTTGTAGAATCATTGTGGGGGCTGAAGAAACAGGGTTTGGGTTGCGTTGTCAGGAAAGACTCCTGAAATGCACCGCAGAACTGGCCCATCAAGGGAGCTGCTGCCTCACCTACAACCAGGAGGCTTCCTCCTCCAGACCCTCACTGCACTGCAGTGACCAGAAAACTGCCGAGACCCGGAATCCTCCACGGCTGCCAGCTCCAGATCGCACCACACCTGCTCCCACATGAATGAATGCCTCCCACTCTGCCTCTCACCACCTATGAAAGTAACAGACTCTGGAAGGGCCAAATGCCTTCACGTGCTTGTTGGCTCTCTGAAGCAAAAGAAGCATGAGCCCCAGCCCATGTCTGTCTTCCAAATCTATGTGAGTGTCCATGATTGGTCAATCTTGAACGCCCTCGAGAAGCCTAGCTTCCAGGGAGTTGGGAAAATGTAGTCTTTAGCCTTCCAGCCTCAGGAGAGAAGAAAGCACTCTGGAAGGAGGGCAGAAGGAACTGATGAGCATTCCACCCTATCCTTCTTGGAGGAAACCTCAGCGAAGGTCTTAACTTCTATCAATGGCAGACTAGGCACCTTCAGTACCTAAGATAGTGTTGTCTCCTCACGTGTGAAGAGATTAAAAACTTCTGTGCATTTTCTATGGAGCTATAAAATCAGGAGTCGTTGGTCATTAGTTGTCTTCCACAAAGGGACCTCACCTACGGGCTTCGGCTCCCTGGATGCTCCATTCAGAAAGCCACAAAGTCACTGATGTCACCCTGTAATCATGACTTTTGTGAGGTTACATAGCAACCCTTCAGTCATTCATTGCAACCCCAAACCACAACTTCTGGGTTTGACCTTGGTGTTCTTGTGTCTTCCACGTCTCCATGTAGATAGTTCTGTTGCAACCATTACAACCTGGTTGACATTACTCAGTAAAAATATATTTATTGAACACTCACTGCCTGCCAAGCACTGTCTGAACATGTAAGAGGCAGGTTGAATAAGTATGATTCGTGATGTACCCAGAACTGTTTTTGTCTCCCATGGTCCCTTAATGGTTTCCTCAGTGGGTTAAACTTCCCTGCCCCTGGATAAAAACTCTAGCAGGTGTTGTGTCTTTTCTGCTCACTTCTAGGTCATAAACAGCATTGGAGTCACTTTGAGCCACAAAGACATTCTCACTTTGGTAGTAATAATGTCCAGTCCCATGTAATAATCAAGAGGCTGAACTCAGCTTAGTGTTGAATCCTCTGTCCTTGGGTCTGCCTCAGGCTGGAAGCCCAGAGTGTGGAAGGAGGTTTGACACTTCAGCTCTCCTCTTCCTATCACACTCCCCCCCGCCTCCCTCACTGTCAGACCTGGAAGAGAGGAGGCAGGGGAGGGATGGGGGATAGGATAATACTTACTTGGCTGAATGGCTTTGTGCTCTCTGGGTCTGGCACATGGCTAGCGCTGGTGTCCCCAGGTAGAAGAACTCTTGGCCTCATTAAGTGCCTTTGCAGTTCTTCATGAGTCTCTTGCTAGTCCCCATTGACTTGGTAAAGACATCTCTATTTTTGGTAGCCTCTTACAGCTCTTCCTTCATCCCCTGGGCATTGAGCAACGCACCTCTGGCCCTTTTCGGTGCAGTTTCTCCTCTCCTCTTGACAGAGGACCTCTCCTATTGGAGACGACTCCACCTCATCTCTCTCCTGAGTGGCCTTTATCTAGTCCATGGGAAATGGGGCAAGTGTTAAGGCATCCTTGCCCTGAAAATTCCTTGATCTGGTTGAAGCGGCTGAGAGACATGAGACATGTCCTCAGGGTTATTTTTCTGTAAATCTGCAGAGGGTGGGAAGGTGATGGGTTCTGTTTCATACTCCCTTTGTTAGCTGATAACTATCATGTTGGTGTCTCAGTCAAAATAGGCAGGAATGGCCCCAGTGTAACATCCTGCAATGCATGCTTTCTAATGCCCCTTCACAGAGATTTGCCCTGACCTCCCCGCCCCGTTTACACAGTGAGTTCCTCAGCAATAGAAATCATGCTTGCATTGTTCTTCTCTCCCATCAGTATCCATCCCCTTCACATCCTTCAAGAGCCAGCTCATCTCCCACTCCTTTGGTGAAGCACAAAGTCTTTCTGACTGGTTAATGTTTCTCGGTCTTCTACATGGTTCTCAATCTTTCACGTGTCCCTGTCAAGTTTGCCTCCTCCATGAAGCCGTGATTGACCTGCATGCTCTCCAACACAAAATTAGCTCCCTCCTTGGAGCTTCCTTAGGACCTTTTCATACATCTGTTACTAAATTTTGTGTTGTTTTTTTTCCCAACTATTTGCCTTACATAATAGCCTGAGAACTCTTCAAGGACAACATCCACATCTTAGCCAACTCATATCTTTAGTCAACTCATACCATACCGCACTTAGTCAACTCACACCTCTAGCACCATATGCAGTCCATCAAAGGCAATCAATTCATTCATCCAACACGGGTTTATTGAGCAACTACTACAGGTACTGAGAACACCAAGGTGAACAAGACAGACAAGGCTTTTGCCTTCATGGCATTTGAAGGAACCCAAGTGCACTTGTGGCACCTCCTAGAATCTCCTTCACTGAGGTCCTCATCTGTGCTCGGCCCATTGCAGGTGCACCCCACCAGTGAACAGGCACAATGAGATTCTCAATTACTTAACATGGAGGTCTATCACACTTCTAACCAGTTGTCACAGATACTTCTGGAGAACTCTGACTTGTTCCACCAGTGTGGACTCACCTATCAGTAACTCGATTTATTCCAGAAAAGTCCTGGTGAGTGTCCTGAAAGCCTGATGTTGGGGACTTTTCCTTCCTGAGAAAGGTGATGCTCCCCAGAGAGGTGTGTCCTTCCGCATGAGTCACCTGAGCACACACCCAGCCCAGGGCTTCCCAGTGGTGACGTCAGGTCTATGCACAGAGAGGGAAAAAAGAATACGCTCACACAGCAAATTTTCTTGTCTTCACTTCTAATGAGAGAGTATTGGCTCATTGATGTCCTAGGTTATGGGGTTACTGTTTTGTTGCACTTCTTTCTGTGGAGAGATGGAAGGACAATAACAATATGGCAGATCGGACCTGAACTTTGGAGGTGAAGAATATTGAGCCTGAATCTGTCAGTGCTAACAAATGCTACACATCAAACTCACTGATAGCAACAGTCTCCTCATAGAGGGTGACCTAAGAGCCAAAGGGCCTGGAAAGGTCATTCTACCCAAAGAACATTTCTCCCCCACCGTCTATATCTCAAAGCAAGAAATCCTCACAATGGAACTCCGGCTAAGGTAAGATGCCTCTACAAGTTCCATGTTTACGATGGAATCTACGCAGAATTCTAAATATATTACGATGTACAACTGAAAGTTACATAATGTTATAATCCAATGTTCTGGCAATAAAAAAATTTTTTTAAAAATAACTTCTAGTTATAAAATAAATAAGTCACGGGGATGCAATGTACCGCATAAGAAACATAGTTAATAACATTATAACCACTTTGTATGCTGACAGATGGTAACTAGACTTATTGTGGTGATCATTTTGTAATAGATATAAATACCACATCATTAGGATGTAGACCTGAAACTAATATAATGTTGTATGTAAATTATATTTCAATTAAAAATAAATAAATGAATAAAGGTAACCAGCTATTTCAAAATATATGATGACTTCTTGGAAGCAAGAAAACAAAAAAAAAGAAGTTCCATGTTTAGGTAGTCATGAAGGGCAGTGGGCCTAAGAAACTCCAGTGACGGTTGTTGACAATGTAGGTCTCCGGATCCTGAACATTTTGATTAGGAGAGCAGTCAGAGCCCCAGACACTATAGGATTTGCTACAGCTTTTTCTCTGTTTGCTAAGGATTTACTCAGCATAGATTCAATTTGTCAAATGCCTGTGCTTGATCTCAAAAGACACAGGATAGGGGAGACCTGACAGGGAAAAGTTGACAGACCATGTCCAGACTTTGGGATGACATGGAGAAAAGCACATCCCAGGGAGGCAAAGCTGTGAGAGACTGGGTCCTGGAGGAAGGAGTCCCTCAGAAAAGACAAACTCCACATCAGATCTATGCCCCGGCTGCTGGTTCCTGGGAGGAAGGGAGGCAGCAGCCATGTGTGCATCGTGGAGTTGTATATAGCAAAGACACAGCAAATTTTTCTGTAAAAGTCTTCCTAGTTTCTCAGAAGCCTTCCTAGCTGAGACTCCTCTGTCCTCCATGAAACCTTTCCTGTAAAAGAGGGTGTGAGTACCACAAAACCAAGTTGCGAGTCCGCTGAGCTGCCAACTTCCTGGACGCCATCGTCGAGCTTCAGGCTGGCTCAGCTTGGACTGGACTGGCTTTTCCAGATGTCTTGACTCAACCAGCTGATCCAGAACTACCTGCAAAGATGAGCTAGCACTTCAGCAAACGGCATTGGTCCTCTCCTCTCATTTGGAGCTGGTTTTGCTTTAGGGCACTGACAATGGAGACCAGGAGTAGAAGTGAGCTATTCCCAGAGCTAACTAGAGGTCACCTAGCTTTCCCAGCAGGACCAGAGGAGCACTGTTCCACCTGCTTTACAAGAGCCTGCTGCAACAATAGGCAGAGATAATGCTGAATCTACAAAGGTAAATGCAAAATTTAAGCATGATCTTCTGCCTCAGTGGCTCTCCCTTTTGGACCTGCCACTCCTGTTTCATAGGTCTTCTTATTTCACTCCCCATCTCCTGCCCCCCAACAGACGCCATGGAGAGTCCAAATTCCCCACATTTGCTCCCCCTATTCCCCCAGTCTGGAATATTTCCCCCTTTTGTCTCTCTCTCTCACACCTTCTAAGATCCAGGTCTAACTTTCAACCTTCTATCAAGGCATATTTGACAACTCTGGATTCCATAAATCCTAACTATGCTTGTAATCTTACAGTGGTGGTTCCAAAATCTGGGGCAGAACAAAGCTTGCTGATGAGCTTTATAAATATTTGCCATCACTCTCCTGAGGTTGCCTAAATTTGGAATTTGGAGAGTGAGGCTGGGAAATCTGCTTTTTGCTTTTTATTTTTTATTTTGTATGTTCTCATAAACCCTCACTTAAGAATCACTGATCTATAAAGAACCGTAAAATGCTTGCTATACACTATCATACCATTTTTAAATTGTTTCGAGTTTGCTACTTTTGTTTTTCCTACCAACTCATCATCTCTGCCGGCCAGGGGCAGGGACACACACACACACACACACACACACACACACACACAGAGTCCAGCGCAGTACTAAGAACAGGGTGGAGATATAATAAATCGTTGATGCTAGATTGCCATAGCTGATGAGCAAAGAAGGAAATAGAGTGATGGGAGAGTGCATTATTTGTATTGTCTTCCTTTTATTGTGATTCTATGAAAAATAAATCCTGCACAAGATCCAGACCATTCCCTAAAGAGCTAGTCTTAAAGGGAGACATTTGTGGCAAAATCCAGAGCATTGACAACACCAAATACTGGTGAGGATGTGGAGCAACAGGAACTCTCATTCATTGCTGATGGGCATGCAAAATGGTCCAGCCCCTTTGGAAGACAGTTTGGCAGTTTCTCTCAAAACTAAACATACTCTTCCCATATGATCCAGCAATCGCACTCCTTGGCATTTATTTAAATGAGCTGAAAATTTATGTCCATACAAAAACCTAAACGTGGATATTTGTATCAGTTTTATTCATAAGTACCAAAGCTTGGAAGCAACAAAGGTGTTCTTCAGTATGAGAATGAATAAATAAACTGTGGTGCGTCCAAAGAGTGGAATATTATTCAATGCTGAAAAGAAATGAGCTATTAAGCCATGAAAAGACATGGAAGAAACTCACGTGCATATTACTAAGTGAAAGAAGCAATCTGAAAAGACTTCATCCTGTATGATTCCAACAATATGGCATTCTTGAAAAGGCAAAACCATTGAGAATGTAAAAAGACCAGGGGTTGCCAGGGGCTGAGGGGAGGGAGAGATGAGTAGATGGAGCAGAGAGGATTTTTACAGCAGTGAAACTACTCTGTATGATGCTATAATGATGGATACATGTCATTATTAATTTGTCCAAATGCATAGAATGTATAACACGGAGAGTGAACAGTAATGTAAACTGTGGACCTTGGGTGATGATAATGTGTCTGTGTAGGTTCATCAATTATAACGATTACAACCACTTTGGAGGATATTGATAAAGGGAGGGGCTATGCATGTGTGGGGTAGGGGTATATGGGAAATCTCCATGCCTTCCACTCAATTTTGCTGTGAATCTAAAACTTCTCTAAAAAATAATCTATTTTTAAAAAGTGGGGAAGAAGGTTAGTTATCACCGTGCTATATGACAACCTATGCATTCCCATCAATTCTCACTCTAGTAATAAGAGATGATGGAATCTTAGAAAAGGAAATGAAGTCAAGTCAGGCCTTAGGAGAACTGAAAAGCCATCCAAAATATTAACAATGATAATAGCTATTATTTTATGAGTATTGATTACGTTCCAGGCACTCTGCTAAGCAATTCACCTGATAGAGATATCATCATTCCTACATTAAAGATGAGGAAATTGAGTCCTAGAGAAGTTAGGTGTTCGTTTGTCCACATTCACAAATAACAGAGTCCAGATTCAAACCCAGACCCATCAGACCCCAGAGCTGAAGTGTGTAACCCTTCTCTCCATTTCTTAGCATCATGTGGCTCTTTCTTCTCCCTGCTTCTCTCAGCGGAAGAGCTCCAATTAATTTCCCGTCTTCCTGCACGCAATCTAAAATGGCTGCATCGTGCCTAGAGCTTTTATAGAGACTCTTCTCTCTGTGACTCCTAACTCAAGTCATAATTGAGCAAATAGGACTAACCAATGAATTGGCTGGCTTTGAGACAAGTATCCATCCAGGATCCAACCAGCCATAGCCACTACCCAGAACTATGGGTAGTATAGGCATTGCCTAATATGTCCCTCATACTGGGACATCTATCACTATCCTTGAAACCAGAACCCTGGAGCAGACGTTGTAAACTTGCCTCTTTCCTCACATGTAGAATCAGGCTCATCATGGTATCCCCCAACCCCCACATGCTATTATGAGATTTAAAGGAGTTAATTGATGTGAAGTGCACACAGTGATTGCTATGAATGGCATTATTAGTCAAGCTGTACTGCACCCGCTTTTGCTCTGGGTCTCTGGCATGCTATACCTTGACTCCCAACTTAGTTCATTTGCCTGAACCACTTTTTTTTTAAGAACATGGGCTTTAACAATTGCCAAACTTAAACATCTCTGGAAACACATACTTTTCCAGGGCAGGTTTGATAACACCCTTAGACAACAAAGGTGGACGAGTCCCAGTCTGAAACTGTCTAGGGCTATGCTAAAACAACCCAAACCAATGCTAGCCTTTATCTTTGGGAAGGTACTTACAAAAGCAGGTCTTAAAGGAAGAAAGTTGAGTTCACAGAGGTGATGGGCAGAAATGCCCTGCAGCCAGCTCTGCCCTCAAAGTCACATGTTTTGCTCCACTGCTCTGTTTAACAAGGAAACGATTCATTAACAACCATGAATAACAGGCGAAAAGGACTATCAGACTGAGCTTGTCCAGGCAGCCAAAATGAGTTATGAGTTTGCATGGTATCACTAAATAATGTCACCATATTCAATCTGGGGGGATTTAATTATTTCCAGAGGATTACTATGAATTCCAGCATAGTGCTAAAATCAACTTGAGTGCCTTATACAAAAAAGGCATTCAGACTTTCATTGACTTGATAAAGAGTAAATAAAGAGCAAAGAGAGGCAGTGCTGCCCGGGAAGCATCACTCAAACAAGCAAGACAGCGGATGTCTTAGTCCATACATTGATAACAACCACCCACTTACGTCATTTATTTCAAATTTCTCATTTGATATTCCCGGCTATTGCCCTGCAAGCAAAGTAAGGCCACTATTCTTCAATTTTACAGATGATAAAATTGAGGCCCAGCAACTAGCTACTTCCCACCACTGCTTGGAAGAAGAACGTGGGACTAGAACCCAGGTCTCCTGACTCATGTCATTTCCCTGCCCCATGATGTCCTCTGTGGTGCATTCCTGGTGAAAACCATGGAAGGTAACTTCCACATAGTGACATCAACTGATTAAGAAATAACTGGCATCTCTTAAAGTGTGCCCCTTCAATCACTATTTTGCCATGATGCTCCAAGAATAAGCTTGGGAATTACTGCTCACCAGATAGCCCACTTTGACTTATAATTCACGTTAGTTTATTAAAGCCTCTGAGCAATCCTAACACAAAGAAACCTATAGAATTTACATTAACCCTGTATTCTTCAAGCAAATTTGACCATAAAACTCTTTGTGTGTGTGTTATTTATTAATACCACACAGAGGAATATTCTTTGGGAAATATTTTAGACTATTAAAAATAATTATTCATTGATGTAGGTAAAATAACTAAAAAATCATGACTCATTCTATTTTGCCTGATCCCCTGTTTCTCAGGCCCATACTAATTTCTGGAAGTAATACTAACTGTAAGGGAGATTTCTGGATACGCAGCAGGCTATTGGGAAGGATATAAGGGAGGATGAAATTTTAAAGAATTGAACTAGGCTTTAGGAGCACAGATTAATATAGAGTTTCTATCTCCCACCTCCTGGTGGCCTCCAGAGACTCCAGGTGGCCTCTCTTCCTTTTATCTTCCCACCACGTAGCTTTTCATCTGTCTAGGGTTATGCCAGAGGTGTGAGGCACAAGCTATTTCTCCTTTCCTTCCTCATCTTGTGGTTTTCCCCACAAAGAGAACTTTCTCCCTTCCTCTGGGAGAAATCTTTGGCCTCCTGGAGATGAGCATCTTATATACAAAGTGGAAAGGCCACCCCACGGTTGCTAGGAACAACGAATGGAGGCATTAAGGAAAAGGGGAATGTCATTTGCTTCCCTTTCAAAAACCTTTATCAGTGTCCATTAACCAACCAATGAAATCCCCTGCAAAGGGAGCCCTTTCACCATCAGACTACTTTCTCACACCTTCTTATCAGTGGCTGCGGCTCCGCAGTGCACTGCTGAAGCAACTTCTCTTGAAATAATTAATTTTGACTCATCTTAACGCCAACCCATTACATCCAGATTTAATTCATTGAACCGAGTTGCCAATTTGCTGCACGTATTTCCCACTTGGGGAAACACTTGAGCTTCCTTGCCTGCGGCCATTCTCAGAAGCAGTCGTGTCTTAAGATGCTTTTTCTAGTCTTTGGCCTCACCCTGGGCTGAGGGAGGGTTTGGGCGACTGGCTGCCTTCTCCAACGTTGTGCTTTCCTTCTCACGAGATCCAACATGGCCGAGGCTGCCCTGAGAATTTTCTTCTACTCAGGTTTTCATCTCTAAGGTTTCTTCTTTACTGTCAGAGCAGTTCTTCCAGGAAATAGTGTTAAGGTTTCAGACAACGTCTCACAGAGGTCAGCCCCTCCTCCAGCCCACAGCCTGCAGACCTCACTTCCTTAGTGGCCCTGGCTCCTCGCCACAGACGGGGAATATATTTATTCTAGGAGGGTTTCTCGATAGCGAGATGGCTGAGCACTAGCTAAGAGATGGATAGGGCAGCCACAGCCACCACTTCCACCTTCCCACCTCCCCTATCTCCAGCGCCCCGCAGCAGATGTCTCCCAACAAGATAGTGCCCTCCTCCCAGCTCCTCTGAGGGACTGGCTGCCTGAGAACTCCACCCAGGAGCAGAGACCACCCCCCACTCCATTGTTTGGTCAGAACTATGTGGCCAACACGGAGCACTTCTGAGTCACCCTCTGAGAAGTCCAGCATGCTACCATCTCTTTTCTCTCTCTCTCTCTTGCTCAGAGCTGGAGCAAAATTAACTTTCTAGACCTTACAGAGTGAAGGATTCTTTCTTGAGGATTTTTAACCACCCAGGGCAGAAAAAAGCACCCTTACTCAGATGATTCTCCTTGTTACATGCTTTATACCGCATATATCATTCTACCTAGGTTCAAAATGGTACTTTTCTTAAAGGTTAAGAATAACACTTTTAAATGACAAATATTGTTATTTAAATAATAAAATAAAACATGTGAAATGCACATAACTGCTTTATAAATATTAATGTTTATATTTTATAAATATAATTAACATTCATAAACTCACATAACAATGCTATGGGAGAGATAGCATCTTATTAGAGAAAATCTTATCATCTTGATTTTACAGATTAGAAAACTGAGGAAGAGAAAAGTAAGGTAAGTTCCCTATAAGGTAATATAGTGAGTGGGAGAGCTGGTGTGACTTTTTTCCTCCCAGACTCCCTGTCCTGGTGACCCCCTCACTGAGAAGTGTCACTCCTTTTGGAAAAGATCCTCTCCCTCATACCCACACACTGTTAAAGAAAAAAGTATTCTAACGCTTGCTAAAAGCGTAAGGGAGATTTTATTCAAGACTATTGCAACAGGAGTATTGCGATAGGAGAGAGAGATGGGGCTCAACTCCAGAAACAACAAGGACAAGTGGGGATTTATGGCCAAGGAGTAGAGAGAGATCTGCTTTTTATTCTTTATAGTGTTTATTAGACCAAGGACCAGTTAGGTGTTGGGGGGGGGGGCGGTGCTGGTGGAAGTGACAGAGCTCTCATTGTCCTGTGGGCATCTCTGTGGGACCAGACCCTTGGGGCCCACATGGCCACTGATGGCTGGCTTCCACCCAACCTCTCCTCCCCCAACACATCCCCAGGGAGTAGTGTTTGAAAGTGACAGCCCATTAAAAAGGCAACAACTGGGGCCGGCCCCATGGCCCAAGTGGTGAAGTTCCTGCACTCCCCTTCGCTGGCTCAGGGTTTTGCTGGTTCGGCTCCTAGGCGCAGACATGGCACCACTCACAGGGCCATGCTGAGGCAGCATCCCATGTGTCACAACTAGAAGGACCCACAACTAAAATATGCAACTACGTCCTGGGGGGATTTAGGGAGAAAAAAGCAGAAGAAAAACAGAAAAAAAAGAAGACTGGCAACAGTTGTTAGCTCAGGTGCCAACCTTTTAAAAAAAAAAGGCAACAACTTTTATAAAATGAAGACTAAGGAAAGAGCCCAGGGCTGGGCTGAGTTGCCCACTAGCTGAGATGCCACCCTAGCAATGGAGCGTAAATCTGGGTGGGCGCTACCCTGCCTCCTTCCACTGCGTTCTCGGTAGGGTGAGAGGGCTGTCGGGCTCAGGACCAGTGGGGGCTGAATCCAGGAGGGTCAGTGGATAGAAAATTACTAAGAGGAGACACCAGGGGTATCAGGATTCTTGTTAAACTGGCCTAACAGGATTCTTGCCAAGGTAGGCCAAAGACGGAAGGCATCAAAGGTGGAGACTGATCAGATATCAGGGGTGGGGGGATTCGCTAAACCGACTTAGCATGATTCTTGCTAAAGTTGCACCAAATAAGACCAAGACAGGACAGGGGTCAAGGTCGCGGCCTAGTCAAGAAGAGGTCTCAGAGAGGAGCCTGACTAAAGTTTGGTCAAAGAGAGCGTCTTTGACAACACACCCACACACAGACACAGACACACACACACACACACACACAAACATACATAGACATATACATGCACCAGGCTTGCCCTCTGGCAGTGGCCCCGGTGTTAGTACTTTTCTAAGACATTGGTGCAAGTTAGTCATCAGAAAACTTGAGTTCTAAACTTTACCTCCCCCTGGCTCTCCCTCTTTATCCTTGAGCCCTGGGATAATTAGAGATGAGCTAACTATGCTAGCGCTCTCCTTCTCGTGGAACTCCCTGAGAAAGCGCTGGGTTGGGGGAAAGACAAAATGGAACAATCGTTTGGGTCCCCATCACTGGGACTGGATCTCAGTGGGCCAGCAGGTGGAAGAGCCGCACAAGGCAGAAAAGTCAGAGCAAGCACCTGCCCCGGGCAGGTTTCAAGGAGAAGTTAATCCTCCTGGGAACTGGTTTTCAATGACAAAATAATGTTGTAAGAGGGGAAAGTAGTGCTACAAAGTATTTCCTGCCATGATTTCAGGCAAAGTTCACTTAGCACCCCTGCAGATTTAAGCACTCAGCTGAGTCAAGAAAAACTGAAAAAAAATTGAAAGGAGCAAAGAGATTATTGAGTATCCTTTCAGTGGAAACTAGACAGCATCTGGAGGACCCTTCCAAGCTTGTCTGCTTCCTGAGAGGTCTGTGCCTTTCTTGGTCTCCAACTATTTTGCAACTCTGTGGAATTAGATGTTAACTTGTGGAGACAGAGTGACACAGATGATTTCTGTTCATGAAAAAGCAAATGAATTTCGATTTCCACCCTGTGGTACAGGCTGTTTTTGCAACTATTAGCAAGTGAAAATCAGCATTTCTGATTGCCTATGACTAGTTTTTGGCTTTTCCTTTGAATTCTCTGTAATATCTTACGAGTTCTCTCAATATTAATGAGTTAAAATAGTTGGCGTGTGTTCATTTTATATTTGTATGGGAGTCAAGATTTTACGTTTTGAAAAAATTACTCTCTAACAGTAGAAATTCCACAATTTCGTAGCTAATAATAAAACCCTTCTCACTCTTCTGTTCTTGACTGTGACCCTAAAATTAGACCCGATGCCAGATCATGCTGGGTTTCAAAAAGAGACAGCTTTAAAAATAAATAAGTGAAATTTAAAAGGGTTCCTTGCAAGACAGCTAGGACCTCATAAACCATCTTTAATCTGTTTGTAGAGATGGCCTGGTGCACCTGGGCCAACAGGAAAATACCAATTCACAGCGTCTGTCCCAAGAAAGGACGGGAGGGATGCGTCTATAAGAATACTTCATGCAGGCTAGACCTACCCTAGGGAGCTTGGGCAAAATCTTCCTCAAGGGAGGGGTGGAAAAAACTAAAATGAAGAGAGCAAGAAGGTATTCTAACTTATATTACTTAAGTTACTTAAGAATTGAGGTTCCTTTAGTTTGGTATAGTCCTACTTGTCTATTTTTGCTGTTGTTGCTTATGCTTTCAGTATCATATCCGAGAAGTCACTGCCGAGACCAATGAAATATTATTCAGCCTTAAAAAGGAAGGAAATCCTGGGCCAGCCCTGTGGCCAAGTGGTTGGGTTCACGTGCTCTGCTTTGGCAGCCCAGGGTTCGCCGGTTCGCATCCTGGGCGTGGACCTACGTACTGCTCATCAAGCCCTGCTGTGGCAGCATCCCACAGAGAAGAACTAGAAGAACGACCTAGGACTAGGATGTACGACTACGCACTGGGGCTTTGGGGAGGAGAAAAAAAAGAGGAAGATTAGCAACAGATGTTGGCTCAGGGCCAATCTTCCTCAAAAAAAAAAAAAAAAAAAGGAAGGAAGAAAATCCTGCCAAATTTGACAACATGGATGAACCTGGAGGACATTACGCTAAGAGAAATAAGACAGTCACAGAAGGACAAATGCTGCATGATTCCACTTATATGAGGATCTAAAATAGTCAAACTGATAGAAACAGAGAGTAAAACGGTGGTTGCCAGGGGCTGGGGGGGAGGAGGAAATAGGGAGTTGCTGTTCAAAATGTACCAAGTTTCAGTTACACAAAATGAACACGGTTCTAGAGACCTGCATTACAACATTGTGCCTATGGTTAACAACACTGTATTGTACATTTAAAAATTTTAAGACGGTACTTTTCGTGTTGTGTTCTTACCACAACAAAGAAAGAAAGAAGAAACTGAGGGCTCTTTAGAGTTCAACTTTTCTCTGCAGTGTTACTAACTCAGACATGACCACATAGACCAGAGCACGGCTATAGCGATCAAGGTGGGCACTGACATGGCTGAGTAGCTATTCCATTTTGCGTCCCTGCTTTTTGGTATCTTTTAATGCTACTTTAGCTGAGAAGAGAGTCGGAGGCTGTGAGTGGCCCCCCATCACACAACTGCCTGACCCCACGTCTTGCTCTTCTCATGGCACCTGCTCCCCTCTACAGACAAAAGCAGATGAGAAACCTCCCCACAATGCAAGTAGCCTGCTGTCGTTAAATCAGGACCAGGAACGAGCCCCCCCAAATCCCCTGGTTTCCAAGCATGGTCCAAAGACCACCTGCTTGAGAATCACCTGGAGAGCTTGCTAGAAATGCAGATTCCCGTTTGCCACTCCTAAAGATTCTGAGTCAGGATCTACTTCAAAGTTTGGAAGTCATTAAATTTTAGCCCAAATAGCAAAAAAGGGGGAGCATGTTGTCACCCTCTGTGGGCGTTAAAAACCAGTCAGGGCCAAGTCAGAACTGGCCTCCAGATATCCCGGAACGCGGGCTCCCCACACTGTGCCCTGCTGTCCACAGGCACAGTTACGGCGGAGAAATGAAACTAGCTTGATCAAAGTGTTTTGCTCTTCACCATCTGTTTACCATTTTCAAACCATCTGTTCTTTCTCATGAGCTATTTTGGCCATTAA